TACTCTCTGTTCGAAATGATTCTATAACCATATATGATGAAATGTTTGCATTGCGGCTTCCTAAACGTCGTTTCCGTAGGAAAACGTTATACTCTCACTCAGATCGATTGCTTGTCACTATCGTCACGGATGCCCTTCGAGATTCTTCATTACAAATCATTCCAGATATCCGTTGGTTACACATTGGACATTGTTTTCTGTGATTGAACTTAAAACGAGCATCCTGTAGAAATTTCACTTTGTTTTACAGATCTCAAACGATCGCGATGTTTTCAAATAACCGGGAACACAACGAAGATGATCACGCACCATTGCTCGTGATTGGTGCTGGGATCTGCCGAACTGGAACACTGACCTTGAAAACCGCTTTGGAAATACTGTACCAAAAACCGTGCTATCACATGATGGAAATTGTGTATAAACATTTGGATCATGTGCAACTGTGGACACAAGTGTATGATCGAGTAGAGCAAGACATTGATGCTGAATTGCCTCCGGATCTGATCAAGCAGATTTTCAAAGGATATCAGATGACAACTGACATTCCGGGCTGTGTGATCTACAAACAGTTGATGAAAATCTATCCGGAAGCAAAGGTACGGCTATTTCATTGTGTATTTCATTTGTCTTTGGTATAGCAGTTCGAAAGTTTCCTGCATACCGCTGAAAAGATTTGAAATGATTTTACTCCTGTGTGATCTCTCCCATGAACTGTTCTCAGTGAACGTCGGGCTGGATTATTGGGTTTTTGAATCGAAGCACATGATTCTCTTTCTCCGTATGCTTGTTTGTGCTGCATTGGTTTAGAATTGAATGAAATTTGAAAGCAAAAGCGGACCGTGCGTAATCCGCTAACTCTATCGCTTCACATCAATGTTGCAGACAGTTGTACCCGTGATATCTCGAGCACAATGCAGCGGCATGTATACTCTGTTTGAGCCACTGCATTCCGTCTAATGTAAAACCATAGAAACCTACGAAAGCAGAGTTTCGAGATTTACTTTTAGTCCCTGTAAAACATAGGTTCGTCCTATTTTGCATCACCTGGTTTCAATTGTCTCATCAGAGGTCTCTTTCTACGATGTGTTCTACGTTTGCTTTGAGCCTGTAAGGTCCCAAATTCTTTTCGTAAATGGATCGATGCAGTCGCATTGTGCACGACACCAAACGAGTTTGAAAAAGCTGGCTTTCTCTTTTCCAGGTTAAACTTTTGTTTGTTTGGCAATGAACAAGTTCCTCTCGAAAGTCAACCTAATATTTCGGTGGGTCTGACATCGCATAATCGAGACCTGTTGCAATCGGAGTTCAAAAGTTATTGTGACCTGGAATGCGTGTACTTCTTTTGGACCGTTTGTTTCTGGTTAGTGGTGGACAACAAGGGGCAGACGATGTGAATCAAAATCATTCTCAGCTTTTATTCCTGCGTAGAATCGATCGGTTCGATTGTTGCATTTTCATCAGACATTGTCCAATGTTTGTAATTCACGATAATGTAATGACGAAGGTAACGAACGAGGATTTGGACAGAAAAACTGTTTTTAAACGTTTCATTAAACTGTGTTTACCAAAGTTAATGCAAGTCAGCTCACTTTTGCACAAAGGTGACGTAAAAACCAAATGAAGGAAACCGAAGTCAATTTATGCCGCCATGCCACCACTCTTGTCCGTGAAAGCAGCCCCATATCACGGCTAGATTGGTTTGTTTGCAATTATTCCTTCGAAAATGATGATAAGAAATAAATATACGTCTTTATGTTGTAAAAGTGTAATCAGTTGGTCTACGTGATTCTCTAATCGACGGATTAGCACCTCATATGGTTCGACCAAGATGAAGTCTGCCTGATGAGGACGTACGCGAGGATCTCACAGACTAGTGTATTTTGTACCAACGTGCGACAGGATACATCTCGGCTCGTAGTGTCGCAAACTCGAGACGATACGAAGTTGTACGAATGACGAAACACGTACCAGCGAGTGTCGAGCAATGCAGGACGACGAGGACAAGGAACTGTAAATGAGTACCGACAAACATCTCCGCCGCAGAGGGGGGGGGGACCTACAAAACACTGACAAAACAAAAGAAANAAGGAAAACGCACCAAACTAAAAGGTTGATGCCATTAATTTAAATCTTGTTCTTTTTTCGTTTTCAGACATTCTTTGATGAGTTTGTCCGGTTATCCAACCTACCCGAGTGTACATTTCATGAGCCTTACTTCATTCACCAATGTTCCGCGGGATCAATTTATTCCAGCTCTTTGAGTCAGATAAATCGGTATTTTTTGTTGGTTGGTTTGCATCAAGAGTGTGAAAGATGACGTAATCCTCAGCCGAAGGAAGCATGTCATCAACACTTAACTGAAAAGATTCATCTTTATTTTAGGGAGTCGTAGCACATCGAGAAAAGGAATATATTCGTCCTGTTTCACCTCTAGTGTGAATTGCGTTCTTGTGTTCAGCAAAAGTTCGTTTGTCCGAACCGTATATGGCAACTTCTATAATCATGGGTGCATAAAATGTTTATCGATCTGAGGTCCAGAATTTTAGTTCATGATTTTCAAACTACGAATGTGTCTGTTTTGAGGACATCCAATGGTTAACTCATTGCTAAGGCAATCCAATTTCGAGGGTTGTTCTTGCGTCTGAACTGTGTTTCTCAAGTTTGAATTGAGGATCACATCACTCAGCAACACAGGGGCTTTGTGGTGATTCGACAGTGCATATAGGGAAATCTAATATGAACGAAAAACCAGCCTCCTTAGTGAGAACAATAAGAGCGACAGTTTGAAAATTCGCTGAAGAATAACCTCTATACGTGAATGACTAAAAGCTGAACACCATAATTCCAGAAGCATTGAAGATGTCATCTTAACTGATGACTGAAACGTTGTACACAAGCTACTAACTTGGACGAACGGGAGGAAAGCTGTTTAGTCGCCTTAAGCTCCAGGAACTAAGTTCTCCTACTTTCCTGTCTATCACGCTTGATATGGGCGAACACTGACGAAGTGATTTCTGTTGCCCCCGCTGAAATACACTATTCACTTTACAACGGATTCTTAGTTTGGAAACTAGTCAACGTGAAGTTCGGTGATACGGGGAATCAAACATTGAAGGTTTGAGTCGTAGAGACTGTGTGGAAATGAGACACTTGAAGCCTGGAGTTATAGATTTTCGAATCACATCGATCTGATAAAGTTCTTCGTTTTTAATCTGCTCAAAAATATCGTAAGTCGTTTTTATATGATTTGTCCTATCTCAACTCTGGTACACTTGGTAATCTTCGGTATAATGAACATAAGTCCCTTGATTTTCTCAATGTCACTGAATTTATTCATAAAAATCATTATGACCGCCCAGGCAGAAACTACTTTCTGATCTATCGAAATTTAGTTCCCGAGACCCCCCATATTTGAATTTTGACTTTTCATAATTTGCACCTTTCAGCGGCCTTTGCACCGATCTGTGCTGCTTTTATTCCGCCACAGAAACATTATGCATACACACACTAACATGCGCCGGGTACTCAAAACCATCAATAACGAACATGAGTGTCGGTGCCTTCAGTGACGTGTAGTACACACATTAAGACATTACTGTCTACCATAAACAATGTCCAAAATCTCAGTCCGTTGTTGATTTGTTTGTGTTTATCACAGGTAATACTCACTACGCGCGATCCAAACACATGGATTCAAAGTGTACGCGAGACAGTCAGACCGAAGAAACCCCAATTGGGGTCAGGCTGCTTGGGGAAATTAAAAGAGCGCCTCGTACTCACTCCAGGATTTTCACACATGGCGGATCAATCTCTGACCCTATCTCTGGGATCCAATGTGAACTTGGATAATGATGAA